GATCAATTTCCGACCACCTGAGAGTACCTGTAATTAATCTTTTACCTTTGTTCATCATCACGTCACCTGGTATATGTCACGTAAGGGTAAATAGTGAACTAAAATGATAGGAAGTTAGTGTGTATAAGGGAATCCAATGCCCCGTTTTCGTTAGGATTAGAACCTGTCAACATACGCTTGCAAGATGGACACTCGACCTTGAAACATCTTGGTTATTCTCTCAAGTACAAGTTAAGGAGACTTTACTAATAACTTCACTGTCAAGCGCTGTAACTCCGCCGATTATTGATATGGCTGTCAAAATAGAAGTATAAAAACCAAGATTGAAAGACAAAGAGTTCCATTTACTTCAGGGAACGAGCCAGGGCTTCCCACAATGTGTTATCAGTACCATTCAAAGTTCCTCAAGGGGTTGGGTTAAGAGGGAGGCTTCTTGCGTACGCCTAACATCTGCCATGGTCTACACACTATCACACGAATCTCTCTCTATTCACGCTCGTGTACTATTGTCTAGAATTACCCAGCCTAAGTCTTTGAAATCCCCAGGCGGCTCACAGTAGGCCTACCGGAAGGCTGGCTCAATTGTATGTCAACAAAACCTTTATCGACCTGTTGCTTCCCACCCAAAACTTTTTAATTATTTTGGTGGTCTTGTCTGATCCAAATAAGTTTATAGCGATACTACTTTGTTTATATTCGAATCAGAAGTGAAGAGTTAATCCGGATCACCTGAAGATTAAGACAACCTCAGCTTATTTCACCTGGTCTTACCACCTTAATGCTAACCTAACTAACCCCCCTCACCCCCCCCCACCCCCCCCTCCCTCCCCAGGTGAAGTAAAACAAGGGTGGGGGGCTAATTTTCATGTGATCCGAATAAAATCTAGTAAAATTGTCTCAACATAAACTGATACATTTAAGTAAAATTATACAAGAAAAAACAAGAATGAAACAAAATAATAACGAACTCCTATAAACCCGGGTTGAATAATCTCTCTTTAAACTTATTGATCTCTCTCTCTCTCTCTCTCTCTCTCTCTCTCTCTCTCTCTCTCTCTCTCACCTTGTCTCCCACAGCCATGGAACAGGTCTATATAACTCGCTCTCAAATATATTCAATACGAAAAAAAATTATTGACACTATCTGGTGGTGAAGGAATACAATATTTACCTTACGGATGAGAGAGAGAAAACGTACATGGAATGACTCATAAATAAAGGGGAGAACTTAGATATTTTAATCCACTGTGGTGTTATATTTACTTAACCCCTCGACAGCTCAATATTTTACACAGCATTTACTTATGGGATTTTCATTCTCTTGCGCGTGCATTGTAGAATAAAGAAGTGGGATTTTTTTTTAAAGAATAAATATGGACCATAGGCGAGAGAGAGAGGCGTGGTTGAGGACTTTACACTAGAGGTTTTATTTATTTATTTATTTATTTTTTGTGCGACGTCAACAGAGGATTATAAACTGTCAAAGCCACACATTTTAATAGTGAAAGAAGAACGATTTTACATGTATTTAATTATTGATGGTTAGTGTACTGTATTAACAAGTTCGGAGTTAAGGTTTGGTAGCCATTTTAACCTAACCCAACCCCATCCAACCCAACCCCTTCAAACCCAACCCCATCCAACCCAACCTCCCTTCCCAACCCAACCCCATCCAACCCAACCCCATCCAACCCAACCCATCCAACCTGCAACCCCATCCAACCTCCAACCCCTATCCAACCCAACCCCATCCAACCCAACCTCATCCAACCCAACCCCATCCAACCCAACCCCATCCAACCCAAATCCCCATCCAACCCAACCCCATCCAACCCAACCCCATCCAACCCAACCCCATCCAACCCAACCCATCCAACCCAACCCTGTCCAACCCAACCCCATCCAACCCAACCCCATCCAACCCAACCCCATCCAACCCAACCCCATCCAACCCAACCCTATCCAACTTTTCCCTTCCAACCCAACCCTCAGGCGATAGGTTGGTCCCCTCCTCTTTCCTTCTCTCTCTATTTCAACTCGGCTTCAATTTTTTCTCACTGGACATAGAGCAGAGCCCAAGCC